TTGAAGCATGTGGGGACAACAGCCTGGCTTAGCGAGATGTTGAAAATGTCTGTGAACATAGTTAACATGACATTTTAATGTATGTTTTTATGTTTATATGTAAATTTTTGAAAATTTGGTTAAAATGGGGTCTTTCTGCAGCTTGACACACTTTAGCATTGACTAAAATTAATAAATATGATATGATGAAATCTTGACAACATTTTAAAGAAAATTTTTGACTGAAACATGAAAAACTGAAACTGTGTAAAAATTAAAACTTGTCAAATGATCATTGCTTTTGCTACAGCAACAATTTGGCAAGCACAGTTTTCCATTTTCTTCTCTTCATCGGCTCCCATGAGACTTCTGTCCCACTCAGTTTCACACTAGTTTCTGTCAGTGGTTCGAAGTAGGGCTGTGCGATTAATCGAAATCGTCTCCGACCTCCCGCAGTATGCTATCCGAACCTATCAGAATGCCGGAACGGACCGGGCAGGCATGCAAACGTAACGCCAGGTTCACACACTCCTTCTGTGGTGCGTATTTTTTCCGCGCCCATGTTAACGGATCAGAGCGTTCACACTGCACGCGATTGCGCTCCGGCAGTGCGCTCCAGGAGAGGTGCGTCTGCAGCAGTCATGCTGCGATCGTTTCCGCACGGAGTCTATTTCTGCTGTGCTGCACTCGCTGAAAGTGACAGCACATTATTCGCAGTAAAAAAATAACATAGATTGGCACGGAAATTTCTGCTTCTGCACCGCATACACATACTGTATACGCACTGCAGACGGAGTACGTGTGAACTTGGCGCAACAAATCTAGTTCAACAATTGAGGCAATGCCACAAAGAGCTCTATGACCAATGCATGGCAAAAAAAATCCCTGGACACGGGATTTTTATTTTATTTTTTTCTGCCATGTCTTATTCTTGAGACATTTTGTTACACCTTTAATTAGTGATTATTTTGCCTTATGTCTGTTCTAGAGACATGCTACAGCTTTTTGATAAAGCTCTAATTGGTTTTCTTTTGGAAATATGTTTCAAATTCACACTGAATGCATTTATGACTGTAAAGCATGTCTGTGTGTGTCAAAATCGTGATGAAAATCGAAATCGCAAAATTGATCAAATAAATCGCGATAGGTTTTTTTTGTCCATATCGCACAGCCCTAGTTCGAAGGCTTGCTTTGGGTCTGACTCTGTTCAGTAATTGTTTTTCTTTGATATTGGATCTTCAGCTTTGGCTGTGATGCATTATTGGCCTGTATGTATGGGACAATTTGGATTTGTAGGAATTGTGTAGACAAAGATCAACCAAAATCTGATCTGCCTTTCAGAGACCAACCCATAGAAGCTTTTATTCTGCTGAGCAGTTTGTTTTCTCTCGGAAGTCTTGTTGGTGGACCGTTTCCACATTGTGTCTCTAGAGAAAATTACCTTAAAGTTCCGTTCCAGTGGCTTTTTCTCTAGGACTATGCTAGAATATCAATCCATCTCCAATCCCAACTGTGTTTCCTTGCACATTTCTATCTTAATTACTTGATGTTCGTGTTTTTTTTATTTTATAGTAATGCTGTAGGTGACACATAAATGGTTCTAGAGTATGACCTCAAACTCCAGAGATGAAATAAAAACAATCACCCGAGTCCACATGGGAGTTTGTTGTGACACAACATGACTGTGCTTAGCATAGAACCAAACTCTTATATTTAGAACATTTGGTAATTATCTTTGAGTGAGAATAGGCCAAAAAAAAACGTATAAGGAAATACACCCTGTTGGCACATATATTGTGTTTCCTTCATCTGGTGAATGCTTATTTGGGGATTTAGCTGTGCTGCAATGCCCTACATCACTGTTTGTATATTAGTATGAATTCATTATTAACACAGAATGTTACTGAAGACATGGGGCTGGACATTTAATGATTTTTGTAGCATTATTTTTAAATGCATTATTTAGTAGTTATTGGTGTTAATAAAAATTATTATTGGTTGACCTTTTCTCTAAATGATTAGGTATAAGGGTTAAATCATGTTCTAGATTGTAGCTTTGTTACAGGTTTATAAATAACTTGAAGTCATATTTTCCTCTAACCTCCACTTATCATGCTTATCTTTATGCCAAAAGCAGCCATAATTTAGTTTAGCTTTTTTCGTCTTCTCTTTCTCACAGAGTTAATTCACTTGTGTCCAAAATGTGAACTAAGACCCATGTCTTCAATGATTCAAACTCAAAATCACAGATCTAGATGTGAAACATACACACTCTCCTCTTAAAAGAGCACATAGTAGAGTTCATCCTCAGGGCTGTATGTAACTGCCTCGACATGAAGCAAAGCCTTTCACGGCATCAGAGACACTATGAAGGCAATATTCCCCAGAATGCTCAAATTAAACTATGCAGCCAAGTGTATTGAAATCATGTGGCTTGAAGGGTTAAAGAAAGAATAAAAATGTCATTATACATATAAATGCATGTTACAGATCTTATTGGGATCAATCCATTAATATGTTTATTTTTAACTTTATTGTGTGCATTATATTTAAGCAAAATGCCATCTGGTGAAAATCACCCTGATCACCACCTTTTTTTCTCTCAATAACCTGAACGTACTCCTGAACCTACATCACAATACAGAAAAGATCTGTTGCTACTTCTGTTTTACTGTGACTTTAAAACTAGATTTGTCATTACATTTTTGAAGGGCAATTAACTGGTACAAATGTATTTCGCTTGATGAAATTACGCGATTGCAAGACACCTATATTATTTGAATGCTTAAGGTTTCATGACGTCACATCAAAGAATTTAAAATTGGAGTTTGGTGACTTTTAGTCCATATACCTGTAGCTTTGATGACTTTTAAACTAAGATCTAACCTGAAGCTGAATTGGTGAATTGTGTGCTCATGGTCATCCTTGTTTACAAATTTATTATCTCACTAAACTTAATTCTCTCTCTCTCTCTCTCTCTCTCTCTCTCTCTCTCTCTAACTGCTCTTTTTTCCATTCATGTATCATTATCTGAGTTATGTATGTTTACAAGCCGCCGCCTCCTCCAAATCCTTAACTTTCAACAGTTTTTACAGTAACCAGAATCATTTATAAAACTAGCTAGATTGTGAATTGCATTATCAGTGTAACATCCTCATGACCATCCTGGTCTGCCCCTGCTTCCTCTCAATGTTGTCCGACCTGTTTGACCCTCATTCATGTGCCTGTAATCAGCAGTACAGTTAAATGTAGGTTCAGAGTTGATTTTAAGGTGAAGTGTGTAATTCACATGCCTCAAAATAACAGGTGAAAATATGAGTGGTTTTGGCAGTTTTTGTTATTTTGTCATTTATTCGACTTCCTCAAAAGCACAGAAGTGAGGGACATATCACCCTTGTGTGAGTTAGCATCACCCTCGTGCCTTTGACAACAACCCTAATAGGATTTTTTGATTGGATTTTGAATTACTGCAGAAAGTAAGCTCGGTGACCAACAAAAGTTTATGATTCTTAAACATTTTGTTTATCATGGTTATCTTCACAAATGAACACAACGTTCATGAATTTTGAAGCCTAATTACATTCATCAGAAGTACACCAAGTTAACCATAATCACATGACTTCAGTGTCACCACCTAGCCTCTGACAACTGTCTTTATTTTTTTTTTTAAACTAGTGAGTAGATGAGTTCACTTGTGTTAAGTGATTGTTTAATGCTCCCAACAGCCTCTGTAGTCCCATTTAGTCACTTTTTTTGTAGCAACCACATTTTTCAAGCCAAATACAAGCTCTAAAAGTCACAAGGTGGATGTATTTTTTCATAGAATAAAATTTGAAAATATCTTGAGCTTGCATTTACCACAGACCTTATTTCAGACATTTAACCCAAAACCCATTCAAAAGACCCTTTGACTTTGGGAAGATGAAACCGGCTTACAGAAATACATTCCTGCAGCGAGCTATTGACTGCCAAGAGACTCAAAGAAACCTCCTGGTGGCCATCGTTTCACCTCTCCTCCTTTGCCATTAGGTGAATCCTTCTCCTTCCTCTTAAACCATGGAGAATTAGTTCGTCCTCTACTTTGTACAATTCTTGAAGCCAAGTTTGTGTAAGAGGTCACCCTACATTCCCACGTGGCAGTAAAAGAGTGCTCTTATGTGTAGAAGGGCGGGAAAAGAAACAGAAGGAAGGTTTGTTTAGCAGCGGCGCTCGGAGAGCCAGAGTCTCTGCAGCCATGTTTGCCAAAGCCCTGTAATATTATTTTGTCCTCCTGAAATAGGTGTCATGTTGCCCATCATGTTAGGCCAGCACCATGAACACTAACCTCCCAGTTTTGAACACGGCACAGATGTGGTTTGTTTATTGTTCAGTCCTGTGTGGAGTTTGTTTGATCTTGTTGTTTTTTCACTTTTACTGCTTACGGATCCGTTCACTACTAATGCAGAAAACAACACGAGCAGCAGAGGCAAGTGTCAAAATACATTTATGGTAAATAAAGCTAATTGAGAAAATTGAACATTTTCTAGACAGTTATTTTTAACAGCACAGTTCTCCGATGGGTAAGAAAAACAGATTAATGTATATTGTTTAGTCTGTCCTGATGAAGTTCCGAAATGTTTTCACCAGCGTCTGACTCGGTTTTGTTTCTGTGGTATTATCTCAATCAGTGAATCTGAGGTTTTCTAGATTTCTAGAAAATTTCCATCCATCTTTCAATTCCAACTAAACTTGAATGTTAAAATTAAATTAAATTATTTGATTATTCAATATTAGAAGGCATTAGGACACAATGGCTTCTGTAAAGTAACAAAGCCTCTTTTCTTTGCGACATGATTATGGGTAAGTTACATTTTAGGGTTGTGACGGTGAGGAAATTTTCCCACCGGTATCTAAACGACGGTGGGGGTCGGTGATGCGGTGGGCAAGTGACGTAACCGGTGTTGCGGCTTAACACCGGTATCATCGTCAGCACCGTCTATCGCGGCAAGCCTATTACATTTGTATTCTTGTGCCCTTTGTAGGAGTGAGAAACGGTATGTGGAGAAATACTGGAAAGAGGTGCGGGTCGGAGACTTTATTCGTCTGCGCTGCAACGAGATTCTGCCGGCGGATGTTCTGCTGCTCAGCAGCAGCGACCCTGACCGCCTGTGTCACATTGAGACAGCCACACTGGATGGTGAAACCAACCTCAAGCAGAGGCAGGTGGTGCGCAGCTTTATCGACCTGGTGAGTGTTCAGGACTGTGGTGTGTTTGTTGTGAAATCCCATAAGTTGAGTAAAGAACTGAATAGAAGCATGCTGGTGTCAAGAACAGTTAATGTGATGGTGTGTGTATTCAGATGGTCTGTGCTTGCCCACTGAGATAACTTTAGTCATTTCACACCACTCACCAAAGGCAAATATTCATTTCCCTCACTGCTGCTCACCCTTTATGTGTTGCGTCTCAAGATGTCAATAAAGAGTTGATCTGAACAGTTTGACAACAAAAACCGAATGTTAAAGAGTGGTGTAGCCAAAAAATAGTGAATCTCGGAAAAAGTTCCTTTTGCTATTGCTTCATACAAAAAGTATTAGTTAATAAATTGTGTGCCCTATATATTCAGAGTCTTCCAAAATCATAAAAAGATTTGTATGAGGAATAAACTGAAATTTTGAAACATGAGATTGATGACAGGCTTTTCATTTTTGGGTGAAATGTCCATTAATAATTTAATTTTAAATGTTTAAATGTATTTATATGTTCAGATCCCAAATTGCAAATTTGTTTTTCATTTGCAGGACTGTGAGTTTGACCCATTAAAATACAACAGTGTTATTGAATGTGAGAAGCCCAACAATGACCTCAACAGATTTCGTGGATACATGTAAGTATACTGCATTTATGTATTTTAAGTGCATTTACATTATTGCTTAGTTTATGGCCCAACCTAATCATGATTAATGGCATTAATCATTATTAATTCCAATGAAATTTCATAGCTCTTCACTCTTAAAATCTTCACTTGATTAAATCACTGTATTGTGAATTAGTTTGACCCTATAGCTAATAACGTAATATCCCATCTGGAAATTTGTACGCCTTCATTATATTCAGTGATCTTCATTTCTATAAACCATTTAGACAAAACGGATCTTTCCACTGTTTTGTTTTGCCGGCAGTGATTAAAATTCCATTCGCTGCCGAGATTCAAATAACGGGATGAATGGTTATTTTGTGACCCACATAGATCCAGTTTAATATTTTTAATGGAGAGGCAGTGTGTATTTCTCTTACTCCAGCATTATTCTGGTGACTTTTCAACCCTGTTATTCTACCTAATTATTCTACTTTACCTTATACCATCTCTCACCAGCAGCGTTCTCTGCTGGAGTACTATAGGAATGGGTCTTTGTTTGTAAGTGTTAGGGTTGGAAGATGGAAGGAGGCTATAAAGTATGTGGAATGTTTTCCACCTTTGTTGTAAGCTGGTGTGTTTAGATGTAAAATGTATTTTCTAAGGGCCAGAGGGCAAAAATGTGTGATCCTTGCTTATATTATTATTCATATTATTGACCGTAACAATAATTGATGCCATATTTTACTAAGTGTTACTATAGACACTTATCTACAGTAATACAGTACAGTACAATACAGTAACAATTTCCTCTCACCACTGTTTCTAACGTCTCCTTGCTATATCAGTAAATATTAGGGCTGCCCCATAATAGTCAACTAATCGTTCACTTACGCTCACTTACTCCTGAAATACTCCGTCGTTTTTGGTCACACAGATAAGAGTAATACAGCTTACGAATCTGTAAAGACTCGAACGTGCTTTTGTAAAATAATGAAAGCAAATAGGATGTGCTTTCTGCCATCTCAGTCTCTGAACTTCAGCGCAAAACTCAAGTGTATGTTTGCCTTACAGACATAAAAAATATATCTATAGAGAGTGAAATGTCTACTTTCAAATGAAGCAGTTCAAATGGAAAACAGATATTCTCAGATTATGTAATCAGTATGGAAAATGCATACAGGCGCATCTACTGCGGAGATGACGAATCAGTGTCGCCGAGTTCATCTCTTAAACCAAGAACAAAAAAAGCACTAGGCCTAGTTTATCAGTGAATTATTAAAATGTTAATGCATCCTCCTTACTGTTTTTCCCTGACACATTTATAATCATTAGCTTCTGCGCTTAATGCGTAAAATGAACGACTACTAGTCGACCTAGTAAATATACACATTTTTATGACAATAAAATCCATGAAATAAAAGTAAGTATATAGTCTTTGGTCTCCCTGTACTTACTTTTATATTTCAGTAGATGTGTGTTATTAAAAAGACATGAAGTTATGTTCCCTGGGTTATGCATTTACACTGTTACAATTATATTTCTTCTCTTTTTAAAGCATTATTTTAATGTACAATTCTATAAATTTATCAAAAAAGTACAAAGCTGAAAGATAAAATCATTATCTTTTCAAAAAGTCAACTCTTCAAGGATAAGTTTTCTGTTTTATTTTATTTTTTCTTAAGTTGTGTTATGATTTAGAGTAGGGGACAGTCTTAGTATTGGTCAATTACCAAGCTATAGTATATGCCATATGATAATTGAAAGTGGATATTTATAGAAGTAGCATCATTAAAATTCTAAGAAGCACCTTCTAATTTCTTGATCTTTAAGGTTTATGTCAAATTATATTCTAAAACTGTCAGTCATTTTACTATCAAGCCAGTATCTGACAGTATAGGTAAATTTATCTGATGGGATATTTAAAATCCTACAAAATCTTCTTTAAATCACTTTATCGAACTGGAAAATGCCCCCGTTTCATAGAGTGGTGCCAGGAATCCTAGTATTCTCACTGTTTAAAAAGGCTTGTTAATCTGGTATTTAGACTTTCAAAGTGTGGATTAAGGTTGTACTGTGTTTATTTTGCAGTCTTAAAGTCTTAAATGGTGGCTAACGCATACAGGTCAAAGGCTTGAGATTAGCATGCATACATATATTTGAGCAGACTGCTGTAGCAGTAGTAAAACAACTGGGCTGTGTAGGTTGAAGTATATCTCCTGTGTTTAGATGAAAACCTGCTGCACATGGTATGGTAATGACAAGCAGGCCAGTGAGTCAGCTGACAGGAGCCAGAAGGATTATGACATTTATTTCCCTGGATGATGGAGAACAGATGCTTCTGGTATGGTGCCAGCATTTTTTTTTTTTTGTCAAAGTGGCTTACCGGAGCAAAAGGGGGTACATAATGCACGGTGGGCGCCAAGGACTGTGTCTTGTTGGAGAGACAGTTTATTGCATTAAGATATCATCCCAGCTGGCGAATATGTGCAGTGCAGGCTAAGGAGATGATACCTGGAGGGCATGGGCATGTTGTTTTGGTCCAGTCACCTTAATGGTAAATATTATGTAACTAATATGCCCTTCAAGTGGAGTCAAAAATATCGTCATTTTGAGCAAATGGGTGACCAAGCAGATTTGTATTTACGAGTAGGAAACTTGGAATGATTTTGCAAGTTAGTTTAATTTTACATGCTGTCATTTTCATCATTTTTAATTCAGTTACAGTTATTTGGGCTTCTTGTTCACAATATAATTCCTTTGTTTTGTTTAGGCAACTTCTGTGTTATGTGTCTTGAATGCGTGACATATATCATAATAACGAATGCCTGACTCTGAGATACAAGTTTCCCAGGCACACTTTAAGGCAGCTTATTTACTCTGGTGCGGCAGAAAAAATGACATTGCTTACTGACTGATGATACCACACAAACATGTACATTAGGAGCTAATCTGAGCTGTGACATGACAGGCAGCAGACAATAAACAACATTTCTGCCAATTACACACTTATAAAACGTTCATTCATCCATAAATTAACATTTACTCATCTCCCATGTTGCTACAAATCTGTATGACTTGATGACTTACTTTCTTCTGTGGAACTGAATAGAAGATATTTCAAATAATCGTGAATGTTGACCCCAGTGACTTGCATTTTATGGACAAAAATAAAAAATTATATATCACAAATTTATACATAAGGTGTATATATAAGATGTTTTAATATTAAAATGTTATAGCAAGTTTCTTATAATCACCAGGGTTGTTTATTTGTTTAAAAATACAGTAGAAACGGTAATATTGCGAAAAATACAACTGTTCTAAATATTGTTAAAAAGTCAGCTTTAACAAAAGAACAAACGTATTGTCCGCACACTGATATAACTGCTCCATAAGAAATATTTATTGCAACGTTTCGGTCATCAGGTCTTCGTTAGGTACAAATTACGTGAACTGAGGTACATCACTTTATAAGTAACAGGTGGTCATCCTAATTAGACACATTCAATCACTATGTAGGTGTAGTCCCACAAAAAAAGATAAGGAAAGAGAGAGAGAGCGAGAGAGAACGGCTTAAACTCGAATAAACATACAAATCAATACAAGTAAAATACAAATCAATACAGATCAATAATCGCTCAAAATATTCAAACCATACTGAAAACAGATGAAGAAATACACACAATCCTATAGAAAAGGCTTAATATCAAATTCTTCATTCAACCCAAAAGGGGACTACGTATTAGGAGTATAAATCCAAAAACATTCCCTTTGTAAAAGTTTCCCCTCAAAAAACACCCAATGCTGAATACCTAACCAAACAAATAGGGCCATTGCCTGATTGTTTCATTACCTGTAGCACGTAGGCGCACTGTGTTTGAGATGTATCATCAAATTTCCTCTTAGGTTCTTCGATCCATTCCCTACGATAACCTCGATGTAGAAATCTTGAAGCCAAATCAGCGGACCATCGAGTGTAAGACTCTTCAGTGCTACACACACTACGCACACGCTTAAACTGGCTAATAGGCAGGCTTTTAATCAGGTGTTTTGGAAACTATCACCTCTTAAAATCATGTTTCGATCCGTTGGTTTGCGATACAGTTCAGTTTGAAGTTTACCCTCAGAAATGTGTACCTTTACATCAAGAAAACTGATACTCTCTGTGTCACACTCCATCGTGAACTTCAAGTGTTCAGTTCTAGAGTTGAGATAATTCAAAAACAGCAACAATTCAGCGGGTGTAGAATTCGTTATCATAAAGATGTCATCAATGTGCCATTTATAAAACATTATCTTAGGTAAAAAAGAATTTTGATTCATTTAAAATTAACTCATTTTCAAATACACCCATATACAAGCGGGCATAATTTAATGCCATTTTACTGCCCATTGCTGTTCCCTTCGCTTGTACATAATAATCATTTTGAAAACGAAAGTAATTATTAGTCAAAACAATATTTATAAGATCCAGCAAACATGCCGTACTAGGTTTCACTCCATTCTGTCTTTGTTTTAGAAACTGTTCCACCGCCCATAAGCCATCCTCATGAGGGATGTTAGTATATAAACTCTGAACATCAAGTGTAGTGAGAAGAACAGCATCGACAGAAAAATCAACAGAATACAATGATTCAATAAAATCCATAGAATCTCTTACATAGGATGGCAACATAGGTACAAACGGTTTAATGAAGTAATCCACAAAAGAAGAAATATTCTCAGTAAGACTACCAATACTACTCACAATGTAGCGACCCTTCAAAGGGGTATCCACACCCTTGTGAACCTTAGGCAATGTATATATCAAAGGTGTAACCGGAAAATCAACTTTAAGAAATTCATATTCATTTTTGCTGAATTCTCAGTTTTCAAAATGTTGCTGTAACTTGGAATGAACATAAGTTTTCAATTTACTAGTAGGGTCAGCAGGTAAACGTTCATAAAAAACACGATCATCCAATTGTCTCCTAATTTCCTTCTCATAATCTGTAGCTCGTTGAAGCACTATAGCCCCTCCCTTATCGACAGGGCGCACAACCACATCAGTGTCTCCTTTAAAGGAACACTCTATTTTTGAAAATAGGCTCATTTTCCAACTCCCCTAGAGTTAAACAGTTGAGTTTTACCGTTTTCGAATCCATTCAGCCGATCTCCGGGTCTGGCGGTAGCACTTTTAGCTGTAACTTAGCATAGATCATTGAATCTGATTAGACCGTTAGCATCTCGCTAAAAAAAATGACCAAAGAGTTTCAATATTTTTCCTATTTAAAACTTCACTCTTCTGTAGTTACATCGTGTACTAAGACCAACGGAAAATGAAAAGTTGCTATTTTCTAGGCCGATATGGCTAGGAACTATACTCTACATTCCTGCGTAATAATCAAGGAACTTTGCTGCCGTACCATGGGTGCAGCAGGCGCAATGATATTACGCAGCGCCTGAAAATAGTCCCCAGCACAGAAGAGTCAAGTTTTAAATAGGAAAAATATATGGAAAATTAGCCTATTTTCAAAAATAGTGGAGTGTTCCTTTAAGATCAAATAAAGCATCCCTCTCCGCTTTTGATAAATTACTATATGCTTTATATTGTCTTTATATTGTCTTGTTTTTTTTTTTTTAAGCAAAGTCTTAACATCAGCTTCAACAAGCCTGCAGTAAGTATCCAAAGATGCGTTCCTGTTACGTGGTGGGATAAAGGTTGACTTCCTTTTAAAAGGAAGATGAATACTGGACGAATCAGGAGTGACACTGCGCTGTACAGTAACAGAAGGAGCATCATCAGACAGAGTAGATATTTCAGTTGTACCAAAGAATTCCCTCAGTCTCAGGGATCTAAAAAACTTTTGAAAGTCAATCATAGTGTCAAAGTCATTAGCCTCAGTGGTAGGAATAAAAGAAAGTCCTTTGCTAAGAGCAGCAATGCAAAAACTAGGAAGTGACTTATCTGAGAAATTCATAACCATTTCCTCTGATTACTCCTCGTCAGTCGTGGAGGAAGCGAAGAAACTCTTTCGTTTACCCCTTCTACATCTTTTCTTGAACTTCTTGCCTTCCAATCCGTACCATGCACTTCTGCCCGAGTGCGGTTTAAAAAACCCAAGCTTTTCCGCCATCGACCAGCAGCATCAGAGTCAGAGTCGCCCATTGTTGAAGAGACCCATAACCTATTCTCCCCGGGCTGTCAGCATCCAGGGGGGACCTCAAAGGTGGCTCGACTACAATGAGAAGTCTGTGAATCTGGTTTTCCATCCCTCCAAAAATAAATCCTTCCTTGCTGATAGTCATCATTGTCCCTTGGAAACTTCCTCCTCTTAGTCGCTTTAATCTCAGTGGAGAGTTCTGCCCATTGTCGGTCAAGATCTTTTTTCAGTTCTGTTAACTTACTTTTGTTGACGATTTCACCAAGTTTTAACTCCAATGTTTTCGACTCCTGACGTGTTGACTCAAGTTGTTTCGTAGTCTCCTTAGTCACCAGCGCCGTAAGATCAAACGAACATTTGTTTAGTATCTCGCACCAGCGAGTACAAAACTCAGAGTCCTCCAAACCAAAAGTCAGCTTTGCCATCACAGGAACAAACTACATTTTAAAATCTACTGAAGCGGAAAAGTTATTTTAAGTTGTAATAATATTTCACAATATTAACTGTTTTACTGTGTTTTTAAATATAAGAAATATATAATAAAAGCCTTTGTGAGGATAGGAGACTTTTTTTCTTTTCAATTTTGAGTGAACTATGCTTGTATGAGCACCCTAAAAAACTGAAATATGATGTAGTATTTGCAGTTTATATCTTGATTACAATACATTTTATTCCATCATAATACATAAATTATATTTAAATGACCTAAGAGAAAGATGCTTTTTGCGGATATACAGTTATTACATTTACCATCAAGGCCTAACTGGACCATATTGCCTAGCCATACTTTGACACTTTTGTCCAAGCTAACAAATAGGCAAATGGCTCTGAGCTAAACCAGAACTGTGATTGACAGCATGGGGTGTACATACAGCTAATATATCAGGTCTGGGTATGAACCAGGGCCAAGCTCAAAGATAAATGCACTACTATGGAATAAAAAACACAAAAACTTGCCAGAGGCCTTGTCAGATAATTGACAAAGGAAAAGTTCAGCAACAGCAAACAGCTTTTTAACTAACAGATGTAATCCTGAATTTAGCACTGGGATTAGTGCTTGCCTTAAAGCTTATTGAGCTCCCTCCACAGGTTGTTTAGCATTCAGCGCTCATTCAGCACGAATTTATTTGCATATGACGCCATTTTTATCAGGAAGTTTAGCCCTAAGGCCTTTTGAACCTTTTCCCGTTGTTGGAATCACACGCAACCTTCAGATCGGAGGTCTCGTTGAATTTACGATTTCATTCCCCGCCACTCCTTCAACTCTCATTTATCATGAGAATCTTTTTACTTTGCTCAATTCTTTTATGACACGGCTTTGGGGTTTTACAAAAAGTGCTGCATTGACTGAACGTGAGATCCAGTTGGCCTCAGGGCTTTACCTGTGTACAGAGCCGTTTTACTGAGGTCATGGCTTTACTATTGATTTTGTGCTGTGAAAGAGGGAAACCCTGTGGACTGTCAAATATGATGGATCGATGTCGTCAACAACAAGGGACGCAGAATTATGTGGATATCCCTTGGCAATATCCACATCACACGGTTGTTGTTAGCTTCCAGTCTAATGAAGTTCTAGCAAATGAGGAATTCAGATTCAGATTATGTATAATCCTCATAGATATGTTGTGTTACAAGTGTGATAAATGAAACCTGCATGGTGTATATGACAGAATCCATCGCAGTGGGAGGAGAGACGGCCTTTACAAAGACAATCTGCTGCTCAGGGGCTGCACTATCCGCAACACAGAGGAGGCTGTAGGAATCGTCATCTATGCAGGTACGCTGCTTCTTTCCAAACCAGGACTGGAAAAGTCCACTACAGTAGTTTAATTTTACATGCTGTCCACTAAAGTGTCATTTCCACCACATTTCAAATTATGTATTATGTCAAACATATAGATCTTAGATCATAGATCTTTTATTTTAGTAATTTCATCACCATCACAAAAAAGTGCAATTAATTGTTATTATTTTTTTATTTACACTCTATGCATAATTGGGAAATGATGCTGTTTTATTGGACATTACATACGTTTAAATATTCTATTAAACATTTAATTTACCTTTTTTTCTTTACACGCATCTCATCAAGTATGCAGTTTACTGACTAATTTGTTACAAGTACACTAACTTTTGATTACTTTATGGATTGTGAAGGAAATAAAAACTGTTGGACAATTATAATTTGTGTTAAATCATTTTCACACAATATCTAAATTATATCATTAGTATGTAATTTTTATTTATTTTTTCCCCATATTTTAATATTTTTACATTTTTCACATTTTTATATTTAAATGTCACCAAGAATTAAAAAAAAAAAACTTTACAAATAGCATTTAGAAGGAATCAAAAAGGTATGGTAAATACTTAGTATTAAGACAAACACAAAGAACAAAATTGCAAATTTTGTGTGATTTGTGATTTTCATGTTTACATAAAAATTGTTTGATGACTGGTCATCTGGCTGGTGCAGCTCATGTTATTTTTACAAAAAGTGAGTGTTTTGCTTTACACTGATTCTTAGGTCATGAAACAAAAGCAATGCTGAACAACAACGGCCCTCGTTATAAACGCAGCAAACTGGAGCGGCAGATGAACGTAGATGTGTTCTGGTGTGTCATCATCCTTCTGGTCATGTGCCTCTTTTCTGCCATCGGTACGTAAAACTTGTCAGTTTTTCTTCCAAGTTATTATTGCTGTCATAACTGAAATGTTTGTGAGGTGTGCATATAATGGCTATTTTAAAATGTCATATGTGGCTCATCCAAACTATCCATATAATATTACTTTTGTGTTAGTTACCTTTTTAAGTTTTTTTTTCGTTGTTGTTGTAAAGTGTTACGTAATGTGAAGCTGTTTTGCAGATTCATCTGTTATGAATAATCTTATTTTAGCATCAAGTCCCAAATTAAAACCAAAAAAATAATCAAACAAGATGAAGTTAAAGTATTTAATTAAGCATGTGGAAATGTTTATTTCAGACAATCTTGTTATTTTAATATATAAATCATTTTTAATTCCCTTTTCAGCAAAAGATTTATATTTTTATGCTTTTTACCACAATAAAAATACTTCTTCAGTGATTGATTGAATGTATCTGATTTGAGGAAGCATTTTAGAGGAAGCAGTGATTTTTTTTGGGGGGGTGGGGTTTAATTCAACATTTTTAGATTCCTTGAACATCTTCAGTGGAAAAAAAAAAACAAGATTCCATTTTACCATGCCTTATACAGTCCAGTGTTTGTCTCTGAAACCTCCTCTAGGACATGGCCTGTGGATGTTCCAGTATGGAGATAAGAGGCCTGTCTTTGACGTCCTGAGCCCAGAAGGAACAGACTTATCTCCAGTGGTCTCAGCCATTTATCTCTTCCTGACTATGATTATAGTTTTGCAGGTGAATAGCAAGTGGTGTAAGGGGAATGTTACCATGTGCTTCAGATTAACATTGATGCTCCGTATGTAGAAGAAATCTAATTATTTTAGATTTAAAGTCACCATGCAGTTAAATAATGACTCGCTTTTAATTTTGGATGAACGTTTCCTTTAATTCCCATCTGGTTTGTAGGCTCAGCGGTAGTTGAAATGATGACCCTGCATGAACCTACAACAAACCTCTCTACTTCTCTTTTTCTCTGGTGCAGGTGCTGATCCCAATCTCGCTCTTCGTTTCCATTGAAATAGTGAAGATATGCCAGGTGTACTTTATCCATCAGGACATGGAGCTGTACGATGAGGAAACAGACTCTCACCTCCAGTGCAGGGCTCTGAACATCACAGAAGACCTGGGCCAGATGCAGTACATTTTCTCTGATAAGACCGGCACACTCACAGAAAACAAGATGGTGTTTCGCCGTTGTACTGTGGCAGGAGTCGAGTACTCGCATGATGCCAATGGTTAGGATTCTCAGCATCTGCAGTGCTAAAACAAGGGCCAGTGTAGTTCTTTGCACACCATTAATTCTCTGTAAATGAGCAATATGTTGTATAAATAATAGGGCTGTCAATCATGTAAAATATTAATAGTTAATTACATGTTATGTCAATTAATGTAATTAATCATAGTGATTACAATTAATGGCATTTATCAAAAAGCCCCCAAATTAAGATCATTCAAATACATGTAGCAGTATTAGGTCACAGTTTATTTCAGGGACCAATTCTCACTATTACGTAACTATTAACTATGACTTTTGTCTCAATAAATTCTCATTTATAGTTAGTAAGGTAGTTGTTAACTTTAGATATGGGGTAAATTATGGTCATGCAGAATAAGGCATTAATATGTTTTATAAGTACTTATAAACAGCCAATACACTAGTAATACGCATGCTAATAAGCAACCAATTAGTAGTGAGAATTGGTCCCTAAACTAAAGTGTTACCCACAATTATTTTTAAAAAGAAATTAATACTTTTATCCAGCAAGGATGAATTGTAAATTAAACAAAATTAAGAGACATTATAATGTTACAAATTGCTATTCCAATAAATGCTATACTTTTAAACTTTACAATGGTTAAAGATTCCTGGAAAGATAGATTGCCGTTTCCACAAAAATATTAACTGTTTTTAACATTGATAATAATAAGAAATGTTTTTATTAAGCACCAAAACAACATATTAGAAAGACTGGAGTAATGGCTGCTGAAAATTCAGCTGTGCCATTACAGGAATTAAAAAAAAAATTCATATTAGAATAGAAAACCGTAAATTTAATTGTAATAAAATTTCAAAATATTATAGTTTTTGATCAAATAAATGCAGCCTTGGTGAGCATAAAATACTACTTTTAAAAATTACTTTAAAAATTTAATTATTTAAAAAAACTTTTTAAACGTGTGTGTGTGTGTGTGTGTGTGTGTGTATATAGATTGAATGAATGAATTAATGAATATGTAGTTCACTTCGTCTATAGCCTGTACCCCAGTAAGGCAGCTCAGGTTAAAGACTAGCATGAGGAAAAAGTGCCAGAAGCCTTAGGTCTTCAATGTACAGCCCAGATGTTTCAAAGAGTGTCTTTCCCACAGCAAGGAGGCTTGCTATGTACCAGGAAATGGATTCAGAGGAGGAGGACTGTACATCTCATGGTGGAACTCTCCCACGGCGGGACAGCGTCACCAGCCACCAGAGTGGAAAAGTGGTGTTGCGATCACAGAGCACTAAATCCCACCGTCGCACCGGGAGCAGAGCCGAAGCCAAACGGGCCAGCATTCTGTCCAAACACACTGCCTTCAGCAGTCCCATGGTTAGAAAACGTATCTTCTACACCTTAAGCTGTACATGTATCGCTCACTATCCCAATGCTTAATGATATTTGATCTTTTATTTTATTGGTTTGACAGGAAAAGGACATTACTCCAGATCCCCAGCTCATGGATAAAGTCAATGAGTGCAGCAGTCAGATGGAGTTCATGCGTTTTCACAGTCAGTCCCTGAACCAGATCCCCCCTGACCTGTGTGACGTCTTTGACTTTTTCATTGCTCTCACTATCTGCAACACTGTGGTTGTGTCCTCACCCAATCAACCCCGGCAGAAGGTAAGCAGACCGACCACCAGGAATTAACTGACATTCGCAACCTACTTTACGTCAGTAATGTGACGCAATTCGGGACATTCCGTTGAGAAGAAGTCAGTGCAGAAATGAAATAGTCAGTTTTATAGTAATTTCAATCCTGGTGGCTTTTTTGTCAGGTATCATGCTTCACTAACAGCTGTTGATATCGGTTTAAGATTGAGATTTGTTTTAATCTCAGGACAACTGAAGTGTCTCATGTCAGATTTTGATCACACAAATTTCTTAATGCCTTGTGTGTGGGCTTTGGTGTTTTTTTTGGCCGCAGTTAACTTCCTTTGGTGGTTTTCTGCTGTGTAGAGTTGGAGCAACTTCCTGTTTCTGTGTAAAATATGTTTATGGTCTATCCTTCAAATGTGTAATGTTGCCCTCTACTAATTTATTGCATGAGATGCCCTCAAAATCCACCTTTTCTGGAGCCATTCCAGCATTCGCGTATGACCTGCATACTTCTACAAGTGTGTATGTAAGATCTGGCAGATACTGCGATCAAACACTTGTCCTCCCTTCATAATACAAGTCTGATCTTGAGCTGAGTGATTTGCATTTGGTGTTTGATTAAATTGATGGCTGCTTAAAGTTCTGCCATATTTCATTTGCATTAACTTGCAGTTTCTCTATTACGATTTTTTTAATTAATCCTCTCTTCTGAGAGCGATTATTTGTGCTTAAATTAATGTCGTAAATTAATTTAAATTTGTTAAACACAATCTTAATGAAATCTTTAATAAATAAATATATAAATAAGCTTGAATTAAAATGTAATGTATCAAACCAGGTAGCATCTACAAACAATTTAATAGCTCTTCTTAGAACTAATTTCACTTTTCTTAAACCATTTTTGCTATTATTTTTAACCATTTGGTCTCAAGGTGATTATTAGTGGATTCTGTTCACACCAGTGTTATTTTAGTGTCTAGTTGATATAATATTATAGTTTTTGTTAATTTGAATTCAATTTTATTTTTGTGTTCTGGTTTAATGTTAATTTTAGTTAATAGTTTTGGTCATTTTGATCTCGTGTTTGTGTGTTTTTGTCATTTTTATTTTTTTGCAGTTTTTAAATACGTCTATATGGTTTTTATTAATTTTTATTTCAGTTTTAGTTATTTTAATACATCAAATTAAACTAAATGAAAATGAGAAATTGCCTTGTAAAGTAGCTAAAATAAATTTTGTATTTTATTTCGGTTACCATTTATTTTATTTCAAGTGTTTTCTTATGGTTTTAGTTTGAGTTAACTTTAATAATCCTGGTTCACACAGGCACCTTCATATATTCTTGTAGTTAAAAAATAATAATTCATTAATTAATAATTAAGTAAACTATTTTTTTTTTAGTCTTGTGAATCTTTCATTTAAAATAAACTCCTCTTGGTTCGATATTTTATTTGAGTTCAGAATGCAGTATGCTTAAGTATTCAAAAAATTCTTGAGGTCATTGTATGTGCGGTTAAAAACATTTGCCTTGCCATCTATTATGGAATGGTTTACAAATCATCCTCCCAGTTGGCTGCAGTATTAAATGCACGCAAATATTTAAGGAGTTTTGTTTTGACAAATGTTCCTTGGATCTTATCAAGGTGCGTCGCTACGAGTTGAAGTCTCCAGTGAAGACCATCGAGGACTTCATCAAGCGCTTCACTCCGAGCCGCCTGACCTCTGGCTCCAACAACAGCAGCTCCTCCAGTCTAGCCACCAACCGCTCGTCCTCCCATAAAGTGGGCTGCAGCATGCTGTCCACCCCCTCGGCCGAGAGCACGCTCACAAAGCTGAACGAGGAGAAGCGTCCGGAGCATGACCTGCAGCATGCCTTCAGCCCCGGCCCACCCAACTTTGATAAAACAAAAGCTTTGGCTCAGGATGAATGCGAGCTCAGATATGAGGCAGAGTCACCGGACGAGGCAGCGTTGGTTTATGCAGCCCGGGCCTATAAGTGTGCTCTTGTCGGCCGTTTACCGGATCAGGTGACCGTGGAGCTTCCACACTTGGGCAAGCTGAGCTTCGAGCTTCTGCACACACTGGGGTTTGATTCCACAAGAAAAAGGATGTCAGTGGTGGTAAAACACACGCTGACTGAGCAAATCACAGTTTACACCAAGGGTGCCGATTCAGTCATCATGGATTTGATCAGACCAGCCACAGGTATGCTAACATTGATGAGCACATTGTTCCCACACTTTATTTCTAGGGTTCAACATTTTAGCTGCTCTGATGCATAATACAGATGCATTGCAGTGTATATTCAAAATATGAAGTTTACGTGCTTATAGTGATGCAGGTTTGAGTCTGGCTCGTGTCATGTCCCAAACCCAATGCCCCTTTCTCTCCCTCCATTTCATATACTTCCACGACATTCTAATTTATTGAGATGCACCTGTATATGTATATGTACATGTATTATCATTCAAAAGATTGTGCTTCATGGAGTCGGTAAGATGCATTTATTTGATCAAAAAGTTTGTGAAATATTATGTAAAATACAATTAAATATTATAAATATAATATACGTCTATAATTTAGAATAACTGAATTTTTAACAGCAATTAAACTAGTCTTCAAGGTCTCATGATCCTTCAGAAATCATTCTAATATGCTAATTTAGTGCTTAGGTCAAGATACAGTTTTTATTAATATCAATGTTGAAAACAGTTGTGCTGCTTAATATTTTTGTGGAAAAAAAATTGATACTTTTTTTTTTTAACTTTAGGATTCAAAGATGAAATAAATAACTTAAAGGGATAGTTCACCCAAAAATGAAAATTTGATGTTTATCTGCTTACCCCCAGGGCATCCAAGATGTAGGTGACTTTGTTTCTTCAGTAGAACACAAACTGAGATTTTTAACTCAAACCGTTGCAGTCTGTCAGTCATATAATGGAAGTGAATAAGAATCACGGCTTTGAGAGTCTAAAACATACACAAACAAAACCAAATTAAACCCGGCGGCTCATGACGATACATTGATGTGTAAAGACACAAAACGATCGGTCTGTGCAAGAAACTGAACAGTATTTATATCGGTTTTTTACCTCTGATTCACGCAATGTCCGAACTTTTCGAACTGTCCTGAGCGGCGGCGCGTCCTCCTGAGCGCGTTCTCAGCAGCAGGCGCGTGAGGCGTCGTTGTCGTCTTGCTTTACGGTGGATCGCAGACTTATAAGTGCGTTACCGCCACCTATCTCTCAAGTGGACCATTGACACTCCTAATTGAGATTGTAGATGGAGTGTCAATGGTCCATTTGAGAGATAGATGGCGGTAATGCACTTATAAGTATGCGATCCGCCGTAAAGCAAGAAGAAGAAGACACCTCACGCCGCGCTCAGGAGGACACACCGCCGCTCAGGACAGTTCGAACAATTTGGACATTGCGTGAATCAGAGGTAAAAAAAACGATATAAATACTGTTCAGTTTCTTGCACAGACCGATCGTTTTGTGTCTTTACACATCAATGTATCGTCACGAGCCACAGGGTTTAATTTGGTTTTGTTTGTGTATGTTTTTTTTTTTTACTCTCAAAGCCATGATTCCCATTCACCTCCATTATAAGACTGACAGACTGCAACAGTTTGTGTTAAAAATCTTCGTTTGTGTTCTACAGAAGAAACAAAGTCACCTACATCTTGGATGCCCTGGGGGTAAGCAGATGAACATCAAATTTTCATTTTTGGGTGAACTATCCCTTTAATACATGCTTTTATTGCCACTTTTGATCAATTTAATGCATCCTTTTCTTAATAAAAGTATCCAGTATTTCTTTAAAAATAAAAGTAGTTTATAACTGCCTCGAGTGGTGCATTTTTTTTTCCATTAATTCACCTACCCATTATCAATGATTTCTTTATTATTTTTACAGATATAACAAAAACAGCATAACTCATAACATCTTGTTGAAAAGTTCATATTAGTTCATCTTATTGAAAGTTTGAAGCTGCATTTCTGACAGGTTTGCTCCCATCCATCTTGTAGCTTCTAAAAGACACTTTCTATGAATTTCACCATCTGTGATTTCAACTGTCTAACTTTTTGAATTATTCTTTTTATTTTTTAATGGCTCTCCTCTTTTATATTTGGAATTCAGATTAACAAACGCCTGGCATGCTGTCAAACCTTCCCCCTTATGAAATGAATCAAATATTCTGGGTTAGTTTATTTTGATGTTCAGTGTTGATTATGCTTTAGAACGCTTGTTGATCATACTAAAGTTTTAATGAAGTCTGGGTTTTTTTTCCGTGCCCCAGTTAGACGGCGCATGAGGCCTATTCCAGCAGAATTAATGAATAACGGCTCACGGCCAAATGGCCAAAAGTCATCCGATTTCTTCAGAACACTGAATGGATAGATTTTTTTTTATGTCTCCAAGAAATTGGAAGAGAGAGAGCCACCATCTACTAAGAGCAGACAGTGAGACGGTTTGATTTTTCAAGGAAATGTTTTGAATTTTTCATGTCTTTGGAGTGCTTAAAATGGCCTCTGGGTTTTGATGTACACCGTTGACCTATGCTGATAGACATTTGATTCCCACATAGTCAGCATGGTAAGGGCAATACGTCCCCTTCACCCAAACATCTTCTGGATGGCTTCCAGATTGTTCTTGGCTCTTGATGTATAGCCAAGGGTTTTAGCGGTAATAAACTATCCTAATGGCATAGGTAGACTGGCTTGTTAGTATTCCAGGCACGAGAACCGCTCCAGTGGCAGTTTTCTCTAATGCTGTGTACATAAATGACTGAACAGAAGTACTACATGCACAGCCCTATGCTTTATATCTAAATGTCAAGACAACAGCCAAAAAAAAGAGACAAAACTTTGGCTTTGAATAGTTCACAAGCGGTCTGGTTGCTCATCTTTTTGGAGGAAAGAGCAGAATAAATCAGAACATGGATTTTTTTCAGTGTTATTTCTTTCTTTAGCATTTTTTTCAGTATGTTACAGATTAGAAAAGAGAATCATTTGTTGAAGTTGATATTTTTGTAAAATATGTTACATAATTCTTATGTTCAAAAGTGTGTGTATATTTGTATACAAAAGGTGGCATATTTGTCTGTCACAGGCTACTGTTCTAAACAAACTTCTAGTTGTGTGTTGCCAACACGCTTCCTTTGGGTGGAATTTTCTAGTTTCCTGGTGCATTTGAAAGATTGACTAATATTTTTCAGACCACCAAAAAAAAAAAAGAATAAGAAAAAATAAGAATTTATTTGAAGCAACATTGCATAAGATATTAAGTGTATTTCATCTTACTGCACTGACAGATTTTGTCCCTTGTATTTAATTTGTTATATTTAAAAAAAAATTATATATTTGCTGTATGAAAAGAAAACTGTAGAATAAGAAGTGGAGTAAGACAAAACACATATCCAGGCAAAAGTGTACAAGTCTTAATAAAATACAATGTTGCTTCTCGAGTACATTAATTTTCTTTCAAGGATATTCTGAGTTTTACATTGCTATCTGTAAAAAAAATAAAATAAAAATACTACTTAAAACCTTAAAGTCGGCACAAAACATATTATAGATCTTATTGTGAGCGATTCATCCGTTTTTTTTTTTGTTTGTTTTTTGTTTTTTTACTTTAATGTCATAACTTGATTTTCTTTCAGCATTTAAAAACCCGACTTACCACAATTTCCCAAGAGCTGGCAATAATTTTTGGGTGCAACGCTCATATCTCAAAATCCAATCAACAACCAATGAATAGAAATCCCTAGTCTACTTTTTTTTACGAAAAAAAGTCACAATACAGAAAAAAAGGGAAAAAATCTGTGGTAATTCATTTTCATTTCATTATTATTATTTTTTACACAGAAAAGGTTAGCAAGTTATTTTAATCACACTAGTCTAATTGTTAACATGTTTAAGAATGGCTATACATGTTTGTTTGTTTTTTAGTTTATAGCGAATATCTTGCCCCATAGATTTCCATTGAAAGTGCATTAAAGATTTGTGCAGTTGAGATTGAGACTTTTTCAGCTATATGGACAATAAGCTAGTGCCATTGCAAGTAGTTATGTAATTTCCTATTTCTGCCATGTGTTTAGCTGGCAGCCTGGAAATATGTTTAAAAACCCCAGGTTTATTAGTGTCCAGCCTACGTTGGGGTTAGCATAAAACTGCACACACACCCAGACTGTGCCTCACTACAGACTATGAACTGTTTTATGCACATAGACACACACGCTCAGTGTACATTCCTGTACTTTAGGAGCTAGAGCCACTGTTCACCTCTGGGTGTGGGCTTCCAATTAACACAGCAGACCCACTGAAGGTACAGTTGCTCCATTCAGAAGCAGTGGGATGTTTGCCATGCTTGTCTAATGACACAATGCACAAAAAACAGGCTACAGGTGCCAGCCTGAGCCACACAGCTTTCGAGTCTTTGACAAGAAAATTGTTACAACTTCATTGACATAAAGCTGTCTTGACCAGGCAACCATAAAGATTTGGAAAAACAAACAGTACCTATGTGTTTCCAGTCATTATGGAACATGTTAAAATGAAGGACATAGACAAAAATGTTCCAAAGTGTGCTCCATTACCAATGTTGGAAAGGACACCATGTTTTGCTAAGGGAATGGCAATCATTTCCGTCTCTCAGTAATAAGAAACTGGTGTGTAATTTTTGTTTCTGTGAGTAGCTGCCTCTGGTTAAATTCCAAGACATACTTTCTTACTTTTGGACATACTTCTGAGGCATTAAACTTTGGTTCATAGGTCGTCCTACATGAAGTTAACTGTGGACATGAAAGATACTACTCCTTTTGTGTTGCTAGTGGTTTAAAAATTCCCCACTTAACCTTTTAAAAAACTGTTGCATATATTATGAAAGACTTTAATACACTTTTCCTTTTCGCTCTTTGAAGGGTCATGTCAGGGCATGATATGGGGATTTACTTTATCTATAGGTTTATTAAGAACATTTAATACCCGAGTCAATGCATCAGTCTCTGGAAAAACATGTCCAGTTGTCCCACAGTTGCAGGGGTGGTGATGAATCATTCGGTGAAAATGTGAGGTTTGGCACTCTCACCCCCTCGTCTTGGCTGACGGTCGTCCATGTTGGGAAGTGATCAAACAGTTTGTTCAACTCTTCCTGCAAGGAAGCAATGCACTGAGCAATAACACAGGAGCGATAACCCTCAAAATGCTCCGAAGCCAGCTTATCCAGTCAACCTGTCAAAACAATCTGCCATCTTGATGAAATCTAATGGCCTTGTTGAAGAAGCCAATGGCAACATAGAGAACCATCCTTGAAGAGGCTGAAGTGATTAGTTTAGCTGTCTGCTTACAGCAGGGGTTTTCAACCTGTGGGGCACCTGTCAAGGGGGGCACGAGCATCAGTTAATTCAGAGACGTTCCCTTGAGAATTTATGAATATGAGTTAACAAATCTTTAGCCATCCACTAGGGGGCAATCTGACTCCCACTGCTAGTCGACAGTTAGAGCAGAGTTGGCTCGAGTATCAGTCACGCTCAGTGTTGCCAAGTCCAAGTCGTTTTGTAGTTTTGGGCAAGTTTTGAGTAGCAATTAGGCGGGTTTTGTTGTGAAAATGCTAAATCGACAGTAATAGTCGACAGTTAGAGCAGATATGGCGCAAATATTGCTCAGACTTATTGACAGTGAAAGATTACGGTTAACGTGTTGGGAATCCAACCACGGATTGGCATGTTGTTATCTCAGAAACAGGCTCAGCCATCACATTGAATCAGGTAAACTGGTTATATATTTATGTTTCAATATAATTACGCACACTATATCAGGGGCGGTTCTAACCCCTTTTTAGGTGGGTTTCAGCCCCCCTATCTGTCACCTTAG